ATCCATACATGGTAATAGGGAAGACAATGGCTTGTATGATTCTAACATTTGTGTTGAGTTATATATCTTTGCATTTTAGGATCTTTTCTAGTTCCTTCGTAGCTGCTGTCCCTATTCTTAATTTTCTTTTAATTTCCTGGCTGCAGTCCCCTTTTTGATTAATGTTTGATCCCAGCTATGGGAACTCTTTTATTAATTCTATTTCCTGATTGTCTAGGTTGAATTTGTGTAGATTCTTCATAGTTATTATTTATGTTTTCTTTATGTTTAACAGTAAGGCTGCTTTTGCACTTTCTAACTTGATTTTCCTTAGCAGGTGTTTTAGGTCTGTGATGTTTTCTGCCAGTAGTATGGAGCTGTCTGCATATCTTAGGTTCTTGATTTTCCTTCCTCCTGTTCTGATCAGTTGATCGTAAATAAATTTTGAAACTTCCTCCTGTTTTCACTCCTTCTTCTGTGTCCAAGCCTGCTCTTTGTATTATATTTTCCACATACAAGTTAAACAGGGAGGGTGATAAAGATGCAGCCTTTCCTGTCACTTTTGCCAACTGGGAACCATCCTGTTTCTCCACATTCTGTTCTGACAGTAGCCTCTTGCCCACAAGGCCACTAGGCCTTGATAATTCCTATCACTTTCCCTCATTTTGTTGCCTCTGCCTCCAGACACTGATGAGTTACAATTCCCATCATCTCTTGCCATTGGCCAGGTGTGTTGGGGCCAATGGGAAATGGAGTCCAGAAACATTTGGAAGGCAGCACAGAGCTGTGCCACCCTTTCACTTGGAGGACGGTGGAAGAGACTAGGTACTTTCCCCTCTGGCAGCACAAGAGACTCAAAATGCCCACTGTGGGTATTGCAAGTGGGTTGAAGTCAGGAGGGTAGCTATCAGAGGGCAATATAAGGGCATTGCTCCCTCAAATAATAATGCTGTCCCCCAATGAATTTTTCCATCTGGTCACCCTGTGGGGACTGAAGGGACATTGGGTGAGGATGAGCAAAGCTCCTATTGCGGGAAGAGGCCTTCCCTTTGACCCCCCTCCCCCGGCCCTAGAGGAGCCCATGCCTTTTCCAGCTCAGGCGGTTCAGGTTCCAGGGGCGGCAGTCTTGGCAGGTGCCAGTGGGGAGAAGGCCAGGAGAGTTGGGGGATTCCTGGTCCGGGTCTGGAGACCCAGAGGTGGTTGCCTCCCCTCCTCCGCCTCAGGTGAATGGATGTCCTCATAACCACAAAGGAGGATAAGGCCTTGAAAAATGGACGACAGTCAAGGAAAAAGGAGGACATCCCTTTGACCCCCCCTCCCCTGGCCCTAGAGGAGCCCATGCCTTTCCAGCTCAGGCGGTTCAGGTTCCAGGGGTGGCAGTGGGGAGAGGGCCAGGAGAGCTGGGGGATTCCTGGTCCGGGTCTGGAGACCCAGATCTTCCCCAGGTGGTTGCCTTGTCTCCTCTGCCTCAGGTGAATGGATGTCCTCATAACCACAGATGAGGATAAGGCCCTGAAAAAAATGGATGACAGTCAAGAAAAAAAAAAAGGAGGACATGACCAAATTCAAAGGTCAAAACATTTTCTTAGCTTTCCTGAAACCAAGTAATAAGACAGGAAGTTCAAATATTTAATTAGATTTGTTAAAATAACACATTTAGTAATGGTCTTGAAGAAGAATTGTTGATTGTAACAATATGTAATAATATGTGTTTTTTTTCTTTTTTAATGTAGAAAATTAATAAAAATTAAATTAAAAAAAAGGTCAAAACATTTCATGTAAATGTTAATTCATGCTTCTGCGTTCTGCTCAAAATGGAGGACCTTTTGGGATTCCTCCTGGACAGAAGGCCAAAATGGAATACATGTCCTGGGAAAGGAGGACACCTGGATGGAGTGCATTTTGGAGGTTCCTCCTGGAAAGAAGGCAACGAAATGGTGGACATGTCATGGAAAAGGAGGACCGGCTCCTTCTCTTCTTTCTCCTCCTGCCACGCAAAGAGAGAAAGGCAGAAAGAGAACCGGGAGGGCCAGTCTTTCTGGGCTGCCGCAGGTGCGCTTCATTCCCCCCCCC